GTGATTTACCATAGGATAACCACAAAGTGGAACTTAAACCCTCTATGTACCACGTGTCACATGCTATATGCCACATGCCACATTTCCAATGACAGCAGAGTGGAATCTAAGTTTCAAGGCCTTGGGCCACTAAACGACAAAACAGAGACAAACTCCTAAGCAAGGAGCCAAAGAGCAATAGAATCGGAGTATAGAGCAACTTTTGAGCATACAGCCCAAGGAATATAGGGATAGGAGCATGAAGCATCTTGGAATAGTTTTAGAGCATCTAGCATTCTAATGCTAGGATCAATATGCAAAACAGAGCCAAATAGTATTTAACACTATTTTAGCATACCGGTGGCCTAACGCAAGGATATGGGTACTCCATCAGCTAGCATGGTTTAGAACTTGGGCTTAGACCCAAGCCAAATGTAAAACAAAGACAAATATGCATATATAAGCTAAACTATGTCTTAGATTGGTTGGCCATGCCTAACTTACCTACTATATATTTGTATATATTTGGAAACCGCCCCCCCCCTTTCTTGAGGAATGCACGTTTTGTTACCCATCCTTAGTACCAAGAGTTAGTCTTTGGGACTAATTCAAAATTTACTAAATATGGAATGTCTTTAGATTGCGAATTTAGATACAAGACGACACTATTGTATTTAGGACAATCTTTACATTTTATAGATATGCCAAATGAGCAAATTTAGACACTTTCTATAAATAGCAATTGGGACTGAATAGTACTAACAAAGTGCATGATAACAAAGGTATTTGGCAGACACGGTAAGCTATCATCTAACGAATATTGAAGGACCAAACTCAATATTGCAAGAGTTCCCAACATTAGTAAGTGCAAGTCAACATCATGAGTTTCTTATCACTATGTCAAGTATGCTTGACTAAATGATAACTTAGGGTTTCCTTCCTTAGTGCCCTTCCGGTCTAAGTGCATATGTGATGACCAATTTCTCAACTAACTTAGACGGAGATTGATAAAGGAACAATACCAACTTTTTGCCATCGTGGCAATAAGGAAAGAATATCCGAAATGACTAATTAATAAGTAACTTTCAATACCTAGAGTCATTACTCCTATCCTTTAGCTCTTTAGGGTGTATGTTAGAAAGTTGTTCTATGCTCTGCTTTTTTAGCTCCTTAGAAGTTTAGCTTTGTCCTTTCATTCAATGGCCCAAAGCCCTAAAACTTGGGTTCCACTTTATTGTTATTGAACACATGGCATATAAAAGGTTTAAGTTCCACTTTGTGGTAATTTTATAGTAAATCACTATAGAATAAAGAGTGAAAACCACATGTGTTACATTTGTTATTAGAGAATGAGTTTCAATAAGTACTATCCAATAAGCTAGTGCAACTAATCTCGTTATATATGTAGAGATGAAAACAATTATCCAAGTGGATACACATTTGGGTATTATGACTTTGCATTTATTCCTTATGTATGGATTTTGGTTGCCTTTTATACCAAAATATATTTGTTTTTGCTTAGGCTTATAAGTTGGATGTGAGATGTTCCATTTGCATGAGTTTGTGCTTAGGCTCATTAGTAAGGCACATTAACAACTCAAGCTTGTATATTGAGTTGACAAGATTAATATTAACCTATCGGTAGTTACCATGAGTTGTTCCATATTACCGTGGGAATAAACCTCCCTTGGGTTTGCTATAAGTGGCAAATAAATTGGTTTATAGTTATTTAGCTAGTGGATCTTATACACTTTTGTTTGATTAGACTGAAGACAATGCAAATGCAAGTTTGAAGTTTGGTCAAAGTTGAGTCCAAAAGAGAGTCATTAGACACTAAGGATCAAAAATGTAAATTATTTTCTTATTTTGGAGAGATAGTTTATAATGAGATATGAACTTATTGCTCATGTTCACATAATGCTCTTGATGCATGTTAGTTATGATGGTCTTCTAAGTAGTGAATCATAAGATGGATAACAATGAAGCATTAAACTATTTTATCTAGGCTTGATATTGAAGATTTAGGATACAATCCTTAATTATTTTCTAAGGAACCTTATTATTGCTCCTTAAGTAGCTTGCTTACAAACCTAAGAAAATTATAAATCTATGAAACTCTTTCTAGATTTCTAAATAGCTTGTTACATAGAGAACAAGGAGAATTGTCAGCCAGGGGCTCAATACTGCCTAGCTATAATCATTTGTTCTCTAACAAAACTGTGAGTCACCAGCTATAAATCTTTCTTCTTTAAGCAGTTTGCATTTACTTTTGGCTGTTATGCACCAAGTAACTGTCAACTATCTGGTTTTATACCTGACCTAGGAAATCTTACCCAGCTCACACATTTGTAAGCTTGCAGGAAGGTGTACAACTTGTAAGATGTATCTAATGAACGGTGTTATTGCAGGGATTTGAGTTTCATTTGATAGTCTTAGCAGACTGTAAGGTTTTTCATCTATTGAGTTAAATCTAAACGGGAAGCCAAGCATTTTTAGTTTCTTGGGAAGTAACAATCTAGCAAGGGGCCTTCCGAACAAGCTATCGAGGATCATCGACATGTACGTAGACTGCAAAATCGTTCTCCTCTTCTAACCAAGTTATATATATACAGAGATGTATCGTTCAACAGGCTGATTGGACCTTTCCCTCAAATAACCGAGTACGTGTTTTTATTCTAAGCAACATGCTATTAATTTTTCTAAACGTGCACAGGAATGCTACCATTATTGGCAATCAGTTCCAAGTTAATAGAACTCAAGGGTAAGGTTCTCTTCCTGTTTCAAGAAGGTTCATCTCACCATGTTCTCGTTGCAGGCAACATGGGAATGCTGCTACATGTATACAGGATATAGCAAACTGCAGCAATGTGAACCAAAGAAACGATATTTGCTGCATATAAAGTCTTCGATTGATTTAGACATATTTCCTTCTCAGGTTTTCAATTCGCCATCAACTGTGGAGGACCTCAGACCACTTCGGATGGGACAGATTTTAACGCAGACATGCCAAGGTCTTTAATGCACGGGGACTCCTATCTGGTTGGCAGGCTGTACTGTATCGAACCGCCAGAGCTGTGCCAACATCTTTGAGGTACCTCGGAGTTGGCATGCGAAGTGGCTCATACACAGTACACCTCCACTTTGCAGAGATTATCATCGGCACTGGCCAGGACGGGCCAGGAGTCGGTCGACGGTATTTTGACGTCTTTATCCAAGCTCAAAGATTTCAACATAAGGGAAGAAGCCAATGGGTCTCTTAGAGCTTTGACAAGGAGCTTCACTGCCGTTAATGTATCTAATGGCGTTCTGGACATTCATCTTCTTTGGATGGGAAAAGGAACATGTTGTGCTCCATTCAGATCTTCGGTCCTCTGATATCCGCAATCCAAGTTCTACCTGGTAAGTGTTAGATACTGCTGAAGTTTGTCATCGTTCTAAACTTGCGTTTAACAGAATTTGAAACTGGTGGCGCAAGTCAGAGCGAAAACAGTTCCAGAGGCGTAAAAATAGGTGTTTGGAATCTCCCTGCCACTGGTGCTCTTTGTGGTCTCCGGTTATTTGTTGTGCAGGAAACGACACATAAAAAACTCAGAGAACGACAATGAAGATCATTTTTTGTTAATGTTTTTGCGGATTATTCATAATAATGCTCTGTGCGATGCAGACTTCAAACTTCTAGACGGAAAGCTGCATATGTTTTCTTACAATGAAATAAAAAACGCTACGGCAGGATTTGACCCCGCGAAGGTCTACAGGGTAAAGTTTTCTTTATGCAGAAAGTGAAAAAAGTGTTTGGACTTTCAGGGGGTATTATCTGATGGTATGTTAGTAGCGATCAAGCAGCTTAATAAGATGAGCGACAACACGGGCGATTTCGTGAACGAGGCCACACTTATCTCCACAGTGCAGCATCGCAATCTAGTCAAGCTCTATGGATGCTGCACCGAAGGAAACAATTGGATTCTTGTTTTCGAGTTTATGGAAAACAAATATCTGCATCAGGTGCTCTTGAGTAAGTACTTTAATCTAATGCTTCCCTCATGCTTCATGTATTCTGTAGGTCCCTCGGGGCGAAATATACACCTCAGCTGGCCAACTCGCTTCAACATATGCGTTGGAGTCGCAAGAGGGCTCGCCCATTTGCACGAGGAGTCGTCACCGCGTATTATACATCGAGACATCAAATCTACCAATGTACTTTTGGATCAAGCTCTGGTGGCAAAGATAGCGGACTTTGACTCGCCATGAAGAGGATCTTCTTTGGCAAACAATGGTATTCTTCCAAGGTAGAGTCTCCATGTCTCTCGAGTTTTGAGTTTCCAGGACAATGATGCCGAGGACTTTACGACAGTAAACTTCCAAGGCAGAGTGGAAATCAAGGTCCAAGTTCTGAACATCCAGGACGATGCAAAGGTATACTTCCTAAGGTAGAGTCTATATCTCTTAAGTTTTAATTACAACAGTAATACTTCCTAATGTAGAGTAGGAAACAAGCTCCATATCTCTCGAATCTTGAGCTTTATCAGCGAAATAGATAGGGAAAATGCTATAGAGATGGCAGGAATATGCCCAACCCCGGCATCTTGAAAGCCCTCCAAAGCATTGACAGTGGCATCGCGGCCGCCAGTTCCGACACGTACGCGTCTCTCCTCCGTGGATGCCGCCGCATCAGCGAGGTCTCGCTCATCCATGCTCACGTCTCCAGCAATGGCTGGATCCGCAAGGCCTTCGTCGCGAATCTCGTCGTACAGATGTACGGCGCCCTCGGCGGCGCTGGCGACGCGTGGCAAGCCTTCTCTACAATGCCCACCAGGAATCTTTTCTCCTGGAACATCACTCTGGGCGCACACACGCGGCACGAGGAGCTGGAATATGCCAGGAACCTCTTTCGAAAGATGCCCAGCCACGATACCGTGTCGTGGAATCTCATGTTTACAGCATATGCCCAATCCGGGCATCTTGCCGTTGCGAGGAATCTCTTTGATTCTATGCCCAGGAAGAGCCCCGTGTCTTGGAACTCGATGGTGCAAGCCTACATTAGCCATGGATTCCTGGACGAGGCTAGGGTTTTGTTTGATCGCACTCCTGGAAAGAACGTCGTGTCCTGGAACGCTATGATCCAGGCGTATGCCGAGAGAGAGAATTTGCGGCGGTCAAGAGATCTCTTTGACAGAATGCCGCTCACGGATCTCATCTCCTGGACGACGATCGTCACGGGTCACGTCGCGCAGGGCAAGATCGACGAGGGTAGGGTTTTGTTCCTAGCGATGCCGGAGAGGAGTGCTGTGGCTTGGAACGCGATGATCCAGGCGAGCTGCCAGGAAGGGGATGTGGATGCCGCGTCCGCGCTCTTCACGGCTATGCCGGCTGGACGGGATTGCAGCTCCTGGACGTCGATGATCTCTGGCTATGCCAGGAACAATCGAATCGGGGCTGCGGTGGCGGTGTTTTGGCGAATGCCGGCGTGGAGTGTGATTTCCTGGAATGCCATGGCCATTGCGCTGGCCGAGAGCGGCGATCTCTCCTCGGCCAAGATTCTCTTCGATCGCATCCCAGAGAAGAACAGCGTCTCCTGGAACGCGATGATCCAGGGCTACACCGTGAGCGGGGATTTGATCGCCGCTATGGAGGTCTTCGATCGAATGCCGCAGCTCGACGTGATCTCCTTCACCACGATCGTCGCGGCGATCGCACAGGGCGGAGATCTGGATCGCGCCAGGGTGCTGTTCGATGCCATGCCAGAGCGAAATCTCGTGTCCTGGAACGCGATGATGGCCGGCTACGCCCAGAACGGCGATCCGAGCTCGGCTATGGTGCTGCTCAAGCTCCTGGATCAAGACGGCCTCCGGCCCAACGCCATCACTTTCGTCGTGGCGCTAGATTCGTGTGCCAATCTCGCGGCGCTGGCCCAGGGCAAGCTCCTCCTCGCCGAGATATCCCTCCTCCAGGACGAGCTGTGCCAGTCGATCGAGCTCGGCAACGCAGCGATCAATCTCCTCGGCAAATGCGGGCAGCTGGATCAAGCCCGCCAGATCTTCGATTCCTGGAACACTGGCCGTGGTGATGCCGTGGCCTGGAACACCACGATCGCGGCCTACGCCCAGAATGGCATGGGCCGCGACGCGATGGAGCTCTTCACGGCCATGAATCTCGAGGGCGTGGAGGTGGACGACGTGACGCTCTTGAGCGTCCTGGCGTCAACCAGCGGCTCTGACGCGATCCAGTTCTTCCACTCCATCGCCGCGGACTACCAATGCGCGCACAGCCGCGAGCACTTCCTGTGCCTGGCCGACGCACTGGGGCGATGGGGCAAGCTCCGTGAGGCGCTGGCGGTGATCCTGGCGATGCCCTACGCGCCCAACCTCATCGCGTGGACGACGCTGCTGAGCGCTTGCAAGGGCCACGCGGACGTGGAGATAGGCCAGGAGGCAGCGAGGAGGGCGAGCGAGCTCTGGCCCGAGAGCCCCGCGCCATACATCGCGCTCTCGAGCATCTATGCCGCGCGCTTTTTCAAAAGTTAGGGCACGGGCGAATATTCACCTTTAGGGTTAAAGGTAATTTTAGGGTTCTTGGCATTTTGTCCTTATCGATCGCAATAGCTGCTACTCTGCCAGTAGAGAAACACATGGACGTGGTGCCGCTGAGCAAGCGCATTTGGTAGCGGATGAGCCGGCTGATCTGATCATGACCACCGTTCCAAAGTTTGATTCAGATGTGGTTCGAGTGCTTCCGCTGTCCAAGGAGAACACAATCGTTTATTCCTAGACGATCTTCCATAGTTTTGAGGAACAATAGCTAAATTACCATAGACAATAGCAATGGCTTTCTTCTTTCAGTGAACAAAAGTTTGAAAAACTCTCATCCCCAAGAACGAAGAATAGAGCACGAGAAGCCCAATTCCCAGCGCTCGACTGGGTTGCATCCTCCTCCCCGGAAGAAGTAGCAGCGTCCAGATCAATCCCACCACCAAGAAGCCAATGGTGTAGTACAAGCTTCGATCGCTGGGGACGACGAAGGACGCTGGATACGTCTTCAAGCTCGCCAGCAGCAGCGAGATCCCCAGCCCAACCAGAGTGTTAAACATCGGCCCCGCATAGCAGCCCGATACCGCCACCTGAGCTCCATCACCTCCACTGGAAGCCATGGCGACGTTGGCCATGAGATCGCCCATCGAGTTCCCCCACGCCAGCACCGTCAAGCCCAGCAGCGACGAGTCGATCTCCAGGATTACCCCCAGGCTGACGAGAACCGCCACGAGCTCCTTGGCGATGATGTAGAACCAGACGATGCTCATGAGGAACCCTCCCACCACCCAGGGAAAGACGAAGCTCCGAGGAGGATGATCCGGGGTCGTGACGAAGAAAGCCGCCAGGCCGAGCACAGCTCCACTGCCAAATCCCCAGGAGTAGACGTAGAAGGCGCTGGAGGGCGAAACTCCGGCGCTCAGGAGGAACGCGAGGAGAACCGGAGCTAGAGTGACGCTCGCCACTGCCACCGGACGAGACCATCGCTTGTCCTCCACGAGAGGAATCGTGAGCTGCCTGGGAATAGTGAGCGGCCAGTCGATCACCATCTTGAAGAGCCTGTGGAAAAAGCTCTTCCAGTTCCGAGAAGACTCGTGCTCCTCTTGCTGCTCGCTCCATCCCCAGAGCGGGCGAGGAACAGCCTCCTCGACTGGCTGCTGGTGCGCGTAGATCGCTACGTGAGAAGCCCACCTCCACTGCGGCAACGTGATCTCGATCGGGTTGCTCGTCGCCCCGGAAGAATCCGGATCCATCAGCGGTGTGTACCAGTTGTTCTCTGGATCCTCGTCGTGAACCACGGCTTGCATGGGCAGCCACCGTAGCTTGGATGCTTGCTTCTTGATCACCTCCGAGGCAGCCACAGTGATGGCATAGACGAGATAGATCGAGACGAAGGCCACAGCTCCCCAGAAACTAATCCTCCCAACGTAGAGAATGATCGTGAGGATCGCGAGGGTGACGAGGAAGAAGCAAACGTCCCGGATGAAGCAGTGGCGATCGAGCTGGACGGAGGAAGAAGCTCTCCCGGCAGTGATCACGTAGACGAGCCCCGCCACCACCGAAGTCACGAACACCGCTCCTCCAAGAACACTGTTGAGGCCAACTTCGCCGGCTCCAGCTCCCACGAAGGCCGCGATGCTGGCGAAGACGTCCGGAGCTCCATTGCCGAGAGGGAGCAAGGAGACCCCCGCGACGGTGGGAGGGAGATGGAGCAAGCTGGAGAGCTTCTGGAGCGAGCAGCAAAAGTAGTCGGCGGCGGTGTTGCCCAGCATGTAGAAGAGCGAGGCGAGCCAAATGCCCAGCAGCAAATGCCCCAGCCATGGGAGAGCTCCAAAGCGGCAGAAGAAGATCCGCGTGTAATCGATGGCGCCCCCCGACGCGCAGTCGCGGGCGTGAGCCTTGACGAAGGAACACGCATCGTGAGATTTCCCTGGGCTGTCACAGCCGCCGCTGCCGATCAAGTGATTTGGGGCGGCTGCCGGCTGCGCGAGCGCGAGATCAAGGAGCGCTCTTCCCCGCGAGTGGCTGATTGCCGCGGGATTGGAGGGAATGCGCCCGGAGAGGAAGAGGAGAAGCACGGCCCACGAAGCCAACCCTAGAACGGACCTCATCGAAGACGCTGCTCCTCATCTCCAACCCAAAAAATTAGGGTTCTTGGGAAAATGGGCAAAATACGGCTTCATAGAAAAATTAGGGTTCTTGGAGAGGTCACAAACATTTACTAGAGGTCGCGCAAAAAAAAGTGTTTTGAAGAAGGCTCTTCAGTAGCCTCCCTTGAGATCGTTGACGACATCGTATGGCACAGGAGTGACAGTCTCTAGCGTCGCGCCCTCGACGATGAATCCGGGCTTTGGCCCCGCGGGCTGGCGCTTGAGGCACGTCTTGTTGCCACTCTTCCTCGCCTCCGCACTGCTCTTGATTCTCTTGAGGAAATCCTCCCGGCAGCGCGAGGGCTTGACGTGCTCGATCCGGACGTGTAGCCTCTTCTTGATGATCCTGTTCCCCACCTAGCAGAAGAAGCACAGGAATCCACATCAAAATCTTGCGAAAACCCACATCGAATTGGAAAGGAAAGAGCTAAAACTCGAAAGATTGATCGATCCGCGAGGCATACCTGCTTGTTCATCTCGACTCCGACCGCGCGCTTGGTGACATTCCACACAACCCCGGTGCGGCCGTGGTAAAATTTGTGCGGCATGCCCTTGTGGATCGCGCCATTCACCTTGACATCCACGTAGTCGCCCACACGGAATGTGCGCAGGTAGACGCTGAGCGGGATCGGCCCCTTCTTGCGGAACTCCCTCGCAAACAGATCCCTGGTGCGCGCCCTCTGCCCGTGTCCCGCCGGCATTGCGTTAGCTCCTTCTTTCCCCTAGCCGCCGGAAGAACCCTAATCCTGTGAGCCCTAGGATCGATTTAAAGATCAGAACGGACGGTCAGGATGATACAATGAAAATGCCCGGGTTTTAGGGCTCTTGGTTGGAATGGAAGTCGAGGTATCTTCTTCCTTGCGATCGGGATCGCGGCGGTTTTGATTTGTTGCTCTTTCCCTGCCAGGATCAAATCGGATTGCTGCTTCCGCTGCTTGCAAATGGAGAGGAGGATCCGTCGGTTGCAGCGATACCGATATTTCGAGGTTCCAACTCGGTCGGAAGGAGCAGCAATCTTGTTGTTGAGGTTTCTTCGTCGGCATTGGAGATGGAGATTTCAGTGGTATGATCCTTGCATTTTCTTTGTTTTCTCGATCGATCGATGCACTCCAGACAGGGTCGAGCTCAATCTCGATCAAATCGGGCTCCAGCGTGAAGATTATCCTCAGCTCGCAGTCCAAATCTCCACTCCGTGCTGGCGACATTGTCGAGATGGTCCCAGGAGATCGCTTCTTCAAGTTTATGCTGTGTTCTGCGCTTAAAGGGAAGGCAGTAGCATCTCAAAGTGACAATGTGCTTGCTTCCAACAAGCGAAAGCGGCAAATCGAGGACGACGAAGCATTCGCCCGAGCTTTGCAGCAGGAGGTATCTATCCAATCTCTTTTCCTATCTTCGTTCGTGAAACAAGCATTTCCTCTTGTGAGCTCAGGAGATGGCGACGACTGTGCGCTCGAAGAACACGCGAGGTGGCGAGCCCGAGAAGTCGAAAATGCTTCACAGCGCGAGGTCGCCTTGTGGTTTCCAGCTACTGCGAGTTCAAGGCTTGCCCGACTGGGCGAACGCTGGGTGCGTGCGAATTTCTGATGTGATAAAGGTAATTCGTGCTTTGGTGCTCTTACGTTTAAGAACTTTTCTGATTGAGTCAGGGCGATGTTCTCGTTGCGATCCTCTCAAATTATATGGTGGACATCGAGTGGCTGCTCTCTGGTAAAGCTACTGCTTTTTTTTTTTCTTCCAAATAATTTTTTTATTCGTAGCTTGCCCGCTTTTGAGGTCGATCCCGCAAGTGGTGATGATCCACGGAGAGAGCAACGTTTCACAACTGCAGGTTTGCGCTGTTGTGTTTATTGTGTAGCTTTCGTGTAATGCTTTTTTTGTTATCTTTGTGTGTAGTCTGTGAAGCCAAGTAACTGGCTACTCTTCAAGCCGAGATTGTGGATCTCATATGGAACACACCATTCCAAAGCCATGCTACTTGTTTATCCAACTGGTGTCCGAGTTGTTGTGCACACTGCAAACCTGATCAATATCGATTGGAATAACAAGACTCAAGGCTTGTGGATGCAAGATTTTCCTTTCAAAAGTATGACGGGGATTACCACTGCATCAGACTTTGAAAACGATCTGGTGGACTATTTGACAGCCCTTGAGGTACGTCAAGTTTCCTGTAGCCTTTCGCGAACAAGATCAGTTTTTTTACAGTGGTCAGGATGTACCGTAGATGTCCAACACCATGGACAGATGAAGATCAACGCAATCTACTTCCGAAACTTCGATTTCAGCAATGCTGCGGTAATTATATTTCGCACTTTTAAGTGAATGGAACTGACGCTTCTAGCTACCAGGTACGGCTGATAGGATCCATACCTGGCTATCACAGTGGCCCTCAGCTGAATAAGTGGGGTCATATGAAGCTCCGTTCGATTTTGAAGGAAGAGAAGTTTGATAAAAAGTTCCAGAATTCTCCTCTTGTGTATCAGGTACCTAGAGTCACGATCTATGCATCGTCGTAACTTGCTTCATCTCTTGCAGTTTTCCTCGCTTGGATCGCTTGACGAGAAATGGATGGAAGAATTCTCGTCTTCGCTAAGCGAAGGTTCGACACTTGATGGGCGACGCTTGGGCTTAGGAGAAGCTCAAATTATTTTTCCCACCGTTGAAGACGTTCGACAATCACTCGAGGTCAGCGATTGTTTCCCGTTATAGACGCTGGAACTGAACTTACATCGTCTTCTCAGGGCTATCGTGCTGGGGCCGCGATTCCAAGTCCCGCGAAAAATGTGGAGAAGCCACTGCTTAAGAAGTACTGGTCGCGGTGGCAAGCAGAGCATACTGGAAGAAGGTTTACCATTGTTTCAAACGCTGCAAAAACTCAAGCTCTTGTTCTTGTCATGCAGTCGTGCTATGCCTCACATCAAGACTTTTGTACGCTTTCGGGAAAACGCTCTGGCGTAAGTCCGTGCATTTCCTTGATATTTTGTGACATATCTCCCACGCAGTTGGGTGTGTCTCACGTCCTCGAATCTCAGCAAAGCGGCGTGGGGTGCTTTGCAAAAGAACAAGACACAACTAATGATCCGTTCTTACGAGGTTTGCATTCCTAATGAAATGAGCTTCGCAGCAGTCCTGACTTCATCTTCTCCCCAGCTGGGTGTAGTTTTCCTGCCTTCGATGCTCAGCAAATTCAAGAACAGATACTCTTGCACCGAAGACTTGCCCCTGATCAACGAAAACGAGGCTTGCGAAACCGGAGAAGCACCCAACGTGAAGCTGTACACTCTCGCTGCCACCGAGAGCGTGGACGAGGAAGAAGATACCAACGCGAAGATTATAAGGCTGCCTCTGCCTTACGCATTGCCGCCGCCTCGATACTCCTCGCAAGGTTTGAAGCTTCCATTGTCTTTAGAGTGGCTTGCTGGATTCTTCGTGCCAGATGAACCATGGAAGTGGGACAAGCAATACTTACACCCAGACGTCTATGGCAAACGATGGCCAAACTAAAGGCCTCGATACTCCTCGCAAGGTTTGAATCACTTCCATGTTTTTATCATTGTCTTGACGATGGTTTGCTCGAATCTCCATTCCAGATGAATCATGGAAGTGATACTTATGGAAAGGTTTCCTTAATATTTTTCTTTTATGGATAGAGCTTATATAACTTTGGCCCTTTCTACTAATAGAAAGTACGCCGCCGGAGGAGCCCTAAAAATCCCACAAGTGCGAATGGTTGGACGGCCAGGATGCGCTGCGATTGGAGCTCGGCTATGGGGCGCCAAGGAAGGTGAAGTTTGGGACTCGAGGTGACAAGGCCGTGAAGATTGGTTCGTGGGTTTTAGGGGTTTAGGGCAACAGGGATGCGGGAAATCCATAGCGTCTTGCGCTGCCGCCAACTGCTGAGGAGTCATCGTCGCTTCTACGGCCTCGCGGCTTCCAAGCGTAAGTAAAAAGGAAAGAACAAATGGAATTTGCGCTGACAAGGGAGGTTTTTCTCGTGTTTGTAGAGATGAAGAACGCCGCGGAAGGGCGGCCGAAGAAGATCAAGTTTTTCGTGGGGAGCCAGAGGAGCAATGTGGAGGCGCTCAAGCGAGAGAAGCACTTGGAAAACTCTCCTGGTGAGTTTTGAGAGCTGGGATCACTATGGAGAAACTATAAATTGTGGTTATGGCAGGATGGATCGAGGCTTTTTGTTCGCAGAAGGAGAACGATCTTTTCGTGAGAGTTGACACCGACTTCATCCGGGATCAGTTTAATCTCCACGGGCTTAGCAACGAGGTCTTGGATTATCATGGATCTCTGCGTGACATCCTCGAGACGTACAGTAAGTTCTCAAGCTCTCTCGTTCTCACTCCCTCCTTGAATATTCTCGTTTTTCCAGGGGGGTATTTCGATGAAGAAGCGCAAAAGTTGTATGGTCTGATCCACAGGCGGTACATTCTATCCACCAAAGGACTCGAGGCCATGGTACGTTTTCTCACATCACTTATAAAACGCTTCTTTTGTTCATCATGTTTTTTTCTTCTCCTCTTGTCCAGGCGAGAAAGTTCAAGCACGAAGAGTTTGAAAAGTGCCCGAGATCCTGCTGCGAGGATCAAACTTGTCTTCCAGTTGGGCTCTCGGACGATCCAGGAGTGTCCACGGTTCGCTTCTTCTGCCCCCGGTGCGAAGACGTGTTTGATCCGATCGCCGTGCAACATCGAAGTAAGCAAAGTTCCTGTTGTTATCTTATCTTTCTCGCCATCGCTAAGATCTCTGTTCTGGATTCCAGGTGTCGATGGCGCATACTTTGGTCCCACATTCGCGCACTTGCTACTCCTGACGCATCCCATGGAAATCAAGCCCTGTGTCAAGCATCCATCGTCGTCTGGCTACGTTCCCAGGATCTTTGGCTTTAAAATTCATAAACCATCCGCGTCTAGCGATGATATGGAAGTTGCTTGACAATCCAGTCGATTTTTTCTCATATTTTCCTGACGATCTTGTACTTATAATCGAGAAATCCACAGGGTAAAAAAAGGTTCCAAAGAAGAAACTAGCCGTTATTTCTTACGTTCTTACGTGGTTGTAAAAACTCTTTTCTGCCTGTGTATACAGTGGAATTCTCCGCCCTTTTCCCTTATCTTTCTCGAATCGAATCGAATGGACAGCGCCAGAGCTTTTTGTGATCCGCGCTTCCATCACAGCCAGCGAGCTTTGGTGCCGAGATTACGACGAAGAAGCAGTCGAATTCGCTGCGCTGGTGGAGGAGATCACAGCCAAAGTTTCTTGCATCGGCTAGGCGAGGCCTGGAGCGTTGTCTTGGGCTTACAATCGACGGAGGTAGCTACAAGCTTCCTGGTTTTTCCTCATCGCTTGTTCGTTCTTTCCAGGCCGGGACGAGGAGGGTCGCCAAGCAGAGATTTTCCAAGCTTCTCGTCACTGACAGAGGCTTCGACGCCGAGAAGCTCTCGCATTTCTACAGCCTGGTAAGCAAGCAAGCTTGTCAAGATTAGAACACGAGCTAGAGGCTTAGAACACAAGAGCTAGAAACTTACAAGTTTTCTTATACCAAAGGCAAAGGCGGCCATCTCGGAGCACGTAGTTCTCGAAGACAAGCAGGTAACTCGTTGATAGAGTAGCGTTTTCATTTCCGAAGTGACGATGGATCAAACAGGGAAAAGCCACAGTCGAAAGACTCGGGGAGTTGCAACTCCAGTTCAACGTGAAGAGGATAAAGAGTTCCGCGCAGAACGAGCCTTGGGCGGTGCCGACGCTGATCGAGTACGAGCCGGAGTGAGAGATCTGCTAGAGGGCGACCGAGCGATGAATCACCTGTGTACACAAGTTTCTAAAAGAAAGTTACCATTGTCGATCTAGATATTCACAAGCTTAGAGATCGAGAAAATGGATTCTGCTCATCAAACCTGTGTAGCCAACCTCTGTTTTTTTTCTTCCATCGCGGGCTTGTTTAGTACAGCGAGAACTCGCGATCATCTCTTCTCTGGAGCGCAAGTTGTGCTCTTGGGACGCTTGTGATCCCCGAGAGGCGAATCGGTGGCCGAGCGCTTCAACTTGAGCTGCTTGCATACGCTCGAGTGAGTGATGGATGAATGAACCATAGCATTGATCGGGAAGAACTTACCTTGTGATCGGCTTTTTGATAGAAGTGCCTCAGCAAAATGTTGGTAGCTTCAGTGGAGATGACTGCAAAGAAAGCAAAGTTAGCTCAAATTCGCGAAGCTATGGTGATGGTTACCTTGATCCGCCGGAGGCATCGTCCGGTCGTGAGTAGCGTGATAAGTGAGCGGTGTGAGTTGCTGACAAAAAAAAAAGAAAAAGAAAGAAATGGTGGTCAGTCAAGCAAGAAAAGAAAAAAAGAAGAGAAAATGCTCGTCGATCTCTTACGGAGCGATGAGAAGGATCCGATGGTCTCAACTGGCTGAAATTGTGCGGGTTGTACGAAGGAAGATCGCCCAGCAAGGAACCCATTGTGATCCTCGCGAAAAGAAAACCTCTTTTTTCGCTTTGCGTTGCTACTGATGAAATGAAAAGAGCTAATGAGAAGATAGGAAGAACAAGGAGAGATTACTCCACATACCTCGACGAAGACGATAGATCTGCGCGCTTCTAGAGGAGGAGGCGCAGCGGCATTGCAAAGCCCTACCCACACTCTGGGAGAACCAAAAACCCTACCCTTCCAGCACAAGCGACACGATCGCTCGCTTCTATCCGATAGAGCGACCAGGATTTTGAGGCGCACAGCGATTCCCTCTCGCTCGATCGATCGAATGTCCCTTCTCTCCTCCTCCTATGACATGGAAAAGAGCCTTGGTTTTGTTGGCTAGGGTTTTTAAGCGGCATCGTCGACAATGCGGGCACCAGGGCGCGCGATCTTCCCTCCCCGACCGATCAGCAGGTGTTTGTAGCTCGCCAGGAGCTGGGAATCCCCCGGCGCCAGCTTAGATCGTGGCCATGGCAGTGGAATTCGAGAGTGTGGATGGAGGGAATGGAATCTCGCTCGCTGTGAGGATCTACAGGCCGGCGGAGGAGGCGCGCATCGCAGATCTGGCGCTGGTTCTGGTGCACCAATTCACGGTGCTTGGCGGGTGTCAGGGATTGCTCAAAGGGATGGCGACGGAGCTCAACAACAGGGGATACCTGGTTGTCACGTTTGATATGCGTGGGGCTGGGCGATCCTCCGGGCGGGCTACGCTCACGGGATCGTCGGAGGTCCAGGACGTGGTGAGAGTTTGCGAGTGGGCCGTGGAGAAAATCCCTGCCTCGAGGATCGTTCTCGTCGGCTCTTCAGCGGGTACGTGAAACTCCTCCGACCGATCGTACTCTTGTTTCTAGTCGGTTTGGAAGCTCTAGTTTTTCCATAGCTGTTCTTCCTCCTCTTTCGTTTCTTCGTCTCTTGGTAGGAAGCGTTTTGTCTTCTCCCAAGCTTTGGAGTTCTGTTGTGTTATCTTCAGTCTTGTTTGGAAGCATTTCTTGATCGAAACAGGAACTCTTGATGGATGATCATCAAGATGAGAGAATGGACCATCCATTTCCTTTTGGGTTCTAACTCTAGTTTCTCTTTTCTCGATTCCAGGGGCTCCAATTGCTGGCTCGGCTGTGGATCAAGTGAAAGAAGTGGTGGGATACGTGGGGCTGGGCTACCCGTTTGGATTCTGGGCGTCGGTTCTCTTCGGCCGCCACAACAAGGCGATCCTCCAGTCGGCCAAGCCCAAGCTGTTCGTCATGGGGACTCGCGATGGATTCACGAGCGTCAAGCAGCTGGAATCCAAGCTCAAGTCGGCGGTTGGGAGAGCCGAGACGCGCCTCGTCCCTGGAGTCGGCCATTTCCAAATGGAAGCTCCCGACTACGATCCCATGATGGCCAACTTTGTCACAGAGTTCTGTAAGTCATTGTGATTTTTCTGTGTTATATACAAGAGTATTTTAAAAAATTAATAATTCTACACTCAGCATAGCCGCATTAATACTAAAATTGTCACAAAAATACATGGATCTGACTAGAGTATACCTAGAAGTGTTTTAAAAGGTTTATAAATTATAAATATAAGATTAACCTAAATGTTTGTATTATGCTAAACTATCTATTCTAAATATTGAAATTTTTTGAAGGTTAATGGCTAAAAGACAAAATCCTAGTTTCCCTAATTTATACTACACCTCCTCTTGAAGCTCTTCACCACCCAACCACCCCCAATCTACCTCAAAAACTACTACACTACCACTCCATTGTGAGTCTTAGGGTAAATTAAGTTCTTTATCCTAACATGCCTTACTATACCCTTGAGTTTTTTGTTTGCTCCTGTGTTGAAGTCCATAGAGAATAGGTAAAAGTTGCAAAAGTTTCCTTAGCTTTTCCTGTGGCACTTTTACTCGTTAACAAAGTTTGCATGGTTTATAATACTCAAAAATACCAACCTTCATATTGAAAACTACAGTGAACAATATATAGCTTCTCATGAGCTTTATGTAAAAGCATAATTTGAGTGTCCTTAAACAAAGGAGATCATGGAAATAAAGCAAATTCTTAGAAAGAGAATAATTTTTACACAAAGAGATTTCAGTTTTTGGATGTAGCTCATGCTTAAAACTCTCATAAATAGGCTTAAAATAAGAATCAGTCATATACTTATGTGGAAAAGATGCCACAAAATCAGTGAGAACCACCAAAATAGCATTAATGTATGCTCTCCAACTTAGTGCATCAGCCACTAAATTTTTATTACCAGGAATATAAATGATCTTAAAATGAAAATTAGTGAGGAAGGCCAACTAACAAGCCTGTCACTTATTCATAACTGGCTGAGTAAGATAATGTTGTAGTGCATGAATGCACTTCAAAATCCACACCCATGAGAAAGTGTTCCACTTTTGCAAGGTAAATCATGGAAAGAAATTCTTTATTATAAACTAAGTAATGAGATTTAGCACTTGAAAATTTATAGCTTTCAAAAGCAATTAAATGATTGTCTTGCATGAGCATAGCACCGATTTTGGCATCATCATTATGAAGACAAGAGCTGCCGTCACTACCATCTTAAGTTGTGCAAAGTTAGAAGTTGCTACTTCATTCCACTTAAAAAGAGCATTCTTATAAAGCAAACTACTCAAGGGAGATGCTATCATAGAAAAATCCACGCGCGGGATCTATGCCGCGGCCGGGGCCGAGGCCTTATGAGTGCATCCGGCGGGCGTGGCACAGCAAATCCCACCAGGCTCTCTTAGAGGTCACCACATGCCCAAGATACTCAATATGATCTTGGAAGAAGAAATTTTTCTTTAGATTCAAATAGAACTCATTTTTCTTGAGTAGGTCAAGTTATTCTTTTTCAGTCTTAGTGTAGATGAGTATATCATCCAAGTAAACAAACTCCCTTTTGCAAATAATCTTGAAACAGACTGCCATAAAGGTTGTAGGAGCATTAGTGAGTCCAAAGGGCATGACCAAATATTCATAGTGGCCAAAAGCAGTCTGAGATGCTATCTTAAATTCATCTCCTTCCTTAATTCAAATTTAGTGATAGCCACTCTTAAGATAAATCTTAGAAAAGTAACATGCACCTTCAAAACAATCTAAAAGATCATCAATGTGTGGTGAAGGATAAGAATTCTTCACAGTTACCTTATTGAGAGCTTGATAGTCAACACAAAGTTGCATGGAGCCATCCTTTTTCTCAACCAGCAGCACTAAAGCTCTAAAATGACTTTAACTTGGTTGGATATAACCTTTCACTTACAAGTCCTTTAGTTGATGTCCTTTAGCTGCAAGTGATTCTGCATGTGAAACTTGATAGAGAGCTCTAAACACTGGTTATGAACCTGGTTCAAGCTCAATAACATGATTTACCATCTGTTGTGGTGGTAGATCTAAACTTGATTCTTGCTATAAGTAATCTTTATATTCTCACAAAGGAAAAAATATTGGAAACAATGGATTTTCCTTTATTAGTGCTTTAATCTCTATTACAAAAAGTATAATACCTTTCCTCTTGTTTCTTAACTTCTGTAGCCGTGATAAGTGGAGTCAAAGGCAAATTGTGTTCACCCTCTAGACTTTTTGGCCACCTTCAATTTAAGAATATGCTTGTAAAAGTAAAAGTAAAAAGCTTTGGAAGCAAACACTAAATTACATAACTAATTTAAATAGCCTTGACAAAAATGATGTAATTATCATTAAAATGTATAAATGTGTACTTGAAGACATATAGAAGAAGACTCCAATCCTTATATAAACCATTATACTATTGCAGCATTATCTTTTAAAGACATGTGGGAAACTTACATAGATACTAAATATCATCCTAAGAATGATAAGTGGCAATCACTACAAAGTGATTAAATTAATGATATATATCACCTCCAAGAGTCACATGGAAGAAATTTGGTTGGATGCAAGGATTGATAACAAGAGTAAAAATTGCACCACATTAATTAAGTTTAATTGTTTAATTATAACCATATAACATCAAACAACTACACCAATTGCTGCTTTAAAAGAGGAAGAGGAGGTTGCTTTGCCATGAAAATGAATATTACACACACACACACACACATATATAGTTAAGGTTTGTATAAAACAATTAACCATTAAAACCATAAATATTTGATATGAATCACATCTAATCCTTTGATTCCTTGACATTATACTCTTCTATCGTAATTATACTTTACTTACTTTCATTAATTTCTATAATTTTTCCTGGACCACCCGTTTTCTTATTGTTAATAGGTATATTAGCAACTATAATTTTTTAATTAAATAGTAATTTTTATTTTTCTAGTATTATTAGGAGAAGACTAATTAATAGTAAGGTAATTTTTTGTACTTTTTGTATAATGGTTAATCTTCTTCTAGAAAAAATAGAATGTAAAAGATGTTATCAATTAATGACATATGAATATGATAATTAAGGTTGTAAAACTGAACCATCCAGTTTGTGAGTGGTTATCCTATAACCACTTTTTAGAATCTATAGCATGCCCAAGGTATAAGGAGCATTAACAGTGAGAGAAGCTAAATTATATTTGGATTTGACTGTCATAAATTTGCATGGTGCAATTGACCTGATCTCTTCTGACATTGTTTGTATTGATCCAAACTCAAAGGCTACCAAAAAAGTGGCCAATACAAATGTCAATCCATAATTATTCATTACAATACAATTAACGAGGTCTAAGTGTATGGCTATGGTGTGGTGAGTGGGATTTTGATAAAATTGGTTTTAAGTATGATTAAAATTATTACAAATATTGCAATACAACGAGATCACGTAAAATTAGTATTTGGTTTATAAATAGGAATTTTACATTTGCTCAAATGTCTTCAACTGATATATTATTAATGCATTAAAATGCCACAAAATTAAACTTGTATTGAGTTTAATTATAAAAGTGAGCACATAACAATGAATTGGTATGAAAATATAATTGTGGTAGAAGATTAAAAGGTCAATTAGTCTATAGGGGAATTGAATGTAATTTAAATCAGTTGTTTATGATTCTAGTGGCTGATTGTACTGTAAAAACTTTATTTGATGTATTATATACATATATTAATCCAAAATAAATTCTATTTCTAGTATTATTATTTTATAATTAAATAATAATAATAATTAATATTTTAAAACAGTCATATATAGAAATTATTGTTACAACAAAGAGTGGTTGGATCAGTTGAACTTCACTTATTATACAGTCAACCACTCTTAAAATTTTGTTAATCCAGTTACTGAAGTTCATACAAATTATATTAAAGTGATATGAAATACAGTGAAAAGATCCTTTCCTCACTATGGTATAGTGAAGGATTATACACCTCTTACTTTCAAGAATATATTTTCTAAATAAAGGAAGAATCTTTTTTTAATATTCTATATAATTATAGTAGAATAGATACTTTAATCTTGACAACTACCCTGACAACATCTCATGCAGATTTTTTTTTCTTCGTTTTTTCTTTCCTCTGTGCCGATCAGGGTAGTCTCATTGGTGAGTGAGTGAGAGAGCTAGACAGGATCCAATCTTTCTTAGTAGCATCACATCAAAAAGAAAGAGGAAGAAGAAGAAGAAGAAGATGTGGCTTCTTCCAAGACGCAGCATGAACGTGGCACTCACTTCCTTTTAAGAATAGGTTAAGATCATTAGGGTTGCAAATGAACCAAGAGATTGAGGAAGAGGTGTTGCAGCAGCTGCCGCTGCGCGATGTCTGGCGGATGAAAGCAGTGTGCAAACGGTGGCGGGAATTGATCGACTCCCCAGGCTTTGGCGTGCGGCACGCACAGGCAAGCATTCCAGCAGCTGTTCCTTATGTTCTTGCAGGCACGTTGTGCGGAAGGATGTTCAGGGGCAACTCATTTACGCCTTTAACTGGATTGAGATGGAAGTGTGCCCACAGGGGGGGTTTCTTATAGGAAGTGCTGGTGGATTGCTCTGCTTTTTGAAAGGGAACCAGGTCCTAGTAGGCAATCCAGTCACTGGATGCTTTAGAGCGTTGCCAGATCTCAGGGCTAAAGGGCTGATTTCATCCTCTTACATGGGCATCAGTCAAGACTTCAGGGAATACACAGTCTGCTTTGTAAAAAGTCGTTCTTGTGAAGAAAAAAAAGTTGAGATCAGAGGTAAAGTGAGAAGTGTCTACACAGTGTTTACAACACCTCATGTATACAACTCGAGACTGGGAGAGCTGCTGGAGGGCTGCTAGCACACCATTGGGATGGTGTCAGTTGGAGAATATGGGGGAAATGGTGGGCAACGCTACTTTGTATTTGCTTTGTGGTCACTACAAGAATTTGAATGATCCAGAGTATGTCAGTCTGTTCACTTTGGATTTGGAATTAAGGTTGAGGTTTGAATTAAAGCAGACTTGGCCATGGGATGAGCAGCTACACAGGAACCATGGTTTATTTGTTTCCTGCCATGGTCGGACAGGTGTGTTGTGCTGCACGCAATTCAAAAATAGCATGCAGCTATGGTATATGCAAGGAGAAATAGGTGGTGATGTTGGAGGTGAAAATCTGGCTAAAGGTGTTGGTAAAGAATCCAATGCTATTTGTTTGAATGGAGCTGTTTTATTTGTGGAGGAGAAGTCTTTATCTACAACCATTTTGAATTTATCTACTACAGATGCAGTTGCTTTCCCATTTCAGAAAAAATTCCGCTCTAGCAAATTTCGTAGAATTTACACCTTCGCTTTTTTTACCATAACTTGTATTGTGTTTCTTTTTATAATATGAATTACTTAGTCTCGTTATTACTTTCATTTTCCTCCTTGGGCAATTTCACGAGCGCTGGGCTGGGTATCTCTCTCTTTGTTTCTCTCGCTCCTTCTAGGGTTTCCTCCCTAGTGCTCCTAATGCATGCTCTGGAGCTCTTTGCTGCTTGTGATCAATAGCTCATCTCGTGTGATCTGTTTATCCTCCTCCTTTCTCCTCTTTCTCCCCCTTTTTTCTGCAAAAGTTTGAGACTTGATCAAGAGAGAAGCACCTGGAAATGGTTATCAGTACACAAAATATAAGAAAATGGAGGAATAAAATCATGTCAATAATATAGAATACTTACAGTTTAGAAAATGTTTGTTTCTTTTAATTCATTGTTTTTTCTTCCAAATATATGTATTATTTCACTTTAAAAGGAAATAAAATAAGTCAACCTTTTTATGTTTCAAAGAAATATCTTAAATTTTCACAACCAATCAATATTATAAATACAATCATGGTAAAGATACATTGTTCATTTTGATTATGTTGGAAAGTGCATGATTATACTTTAGAGTTTGTGTTTGCTAGTGATAATTACTTGCTTAAGAATGTTTGAATGCTTTATTTTGAAGAGAAAATTGGGAATGTTAAGTTTTTCAAGAGCAAAGAGTCAATAAAAATGATGCAATCTAAGAGAATTAACCATAAAAGGCAACTATATTACTGAAGAATTTGTTATGCCAAACAGCAACATGGTTTCCTTTATTTATTTATTTATAGTTTTTATGAAATTTCTTTTTTATGACTGGTTTGTCTTTAATTCTATGAATGCTAAGCATAGCACCTAATAAGGAGCTTGTTTACATTGCATAGCATTGAATATTAATGTTAATATCTTAGCCATTGCACATTATGATAAATGATGGGTAATGGTGTTGCCACTATGGCCTCTTAGCATATGAGCTGCTTCCACACACAAAAGTTATCTTGATTAAGTTTGAGCTAAGATTTATTCACAACATATGAAGAATGCATATATTCAAGTACTATGGTTGCAAAGACTTCTCTACATAGAAAAATGTCAAGTTTTACACTTTCAGGTTGCAGTATTATAAACATCTTTACTTTTGCATAATTAACTTTGTATGCTGTGTAACTACATTTACAATATTGAAAAACTTAAAATGAACTTATCCAAAATGTTGAAGTGATTGTTTTTTACTGATTATTCTATCCCTGATCTACACACAAAATATCTTATTATATTTAACTTTATTTATCTTTTATAATAAGAAAAACATTTAAATATTATATTTAATCATTATGTGTAAAATAATTAATTAATTTTTTTTTAAAAAAAAAATTCTTTACATATGATATGGTACTTTCTTTTTAATATTAAATTATTTTGTGTTCCATCAAACTCGATTAAAAAGATATATATTGTAGTGGATGTTGATGGTGTGATTGTAGCTAATGCTAATATCTTTCATGAAGTACAAAATGTTATAATTGATGTATTAAAGCAAATAAGTAATGCTTCCATTTGTAAACAACTTCCAAAAAAATTACAAACATTTTACATTTATTCAAATTATAAATAATAAATTTAGCATGGCGTGTTTTGAGTTTTAATGAAGAAGCTACATTGACTTTTCTTGATAATGTAAAAATGTATATATTCCAATGCCAGATTAGATTTAGTATCATCTCAAAATCAAAATGTTAACACAAATGAATTTTCACACTTGTCACAATAGGTTAACAGTTTACCAAAGTCCAAATGACAACTTGGTATTATCAATTAAGTTTGATTATTTTGTGAAAATGGAACAATTTATTAAAAATACAACATCCAATCTACTGTCATTCTTAAAATACTTTTCTTTTTTATATAAAGGTTTTGAATTAAATTTTAGGTTTTAAACAATTTACAACACTTAAAATCATTGTGCTGTGACTAAGGGTTTTTCTGCTGGAAACTGAATTGTTGGGCTTGCAAAAGAATTCTACTGGCTTGCTCACATCTATGGCTTGTTATGAAGTTTTCCTTCCTCAAGAAAGATAGTGCTTAGGTGGTGCTTTAGAAAACACTCATTGACTATATGCAATGAGACTTGACCAGACTGGATGGTTCTAGTTTTCCAAGGACCTGTCTAGAGAGTATAACACCAAGCTCAACCTGTGTTGTGGACATCTCCTAGAAGTACTTGCAGTTTACATGAAAAACTACTTTGTTTTTCAATGGCTATGTCCAATGATTCATTGTTAAAACATATATAATTGTTTTAGACAATGAATCCTATCTTAGTTGTATTGAAAGCATTCTTTCCCTGTGGCTGCCACTTTGTGTCTGCCACTCTTACTCATCACCGTCGAAGACTTTGCACTGTTGTGGGTGGTGGTGACCATTGTCACTGTCTGGGAGGATGATCGTCTTCTTGGTGATCCCATCACATTTTCAACCCAGTTGTGATGCTCCACTACGTTCTTGACGCCCAGCTTGTAACTCTGCCCTGATGATCCCTGCCATCTGAGCGACACCCCACGGGTGAGAGAAGCCATTGATGGACGTCAATTCCTGTTGGTAAATGCAGTGTTAGGGTACATCTAAGATATATGTTTTCCATCTCTTTTCAATTCAGAGGATTTTGCAGGGGTAGTTTCTATTGTGCAGTGGCTGGTGAAGCAATGTAAGCCCAAACTAGTGTGATCCACTGTGGCAGTCCTATCTATTCCACAATGCCGATTGATGGCTATATTCTAAACTATGCTGTTTCAATCCAATGGCTAGAAAAATATATGTATACTGAGCGTATCCATATCAAAACAGTATTATAAACGGTTAAAAACACTAGTTTGAATTTGACGTACTTGCGATGTCGTCCAATATCATTGAAGAGTGAGGAACCACACCACAAATCAATGAGTAACAGTGTAACGCTACAAGTTCCAAGTAGTTTCTTAGGGATAGATCCTTATTTGTATCCATCTGCTTGGCTCGCCCACTCCCACAGATTTTACCCTTAGTCCAGGAAATGGAAGGGAGATGGATCTTGAGCACTTGCATCGTCCTCTTCACTGCAGCGCTATGGCGATTCGTGACGGTCTACTGGTGGCGCCCCAGGGCGATCGCCGCGCAGCTCAAGAAGGAGGGCATTCAGGGGCCTCCACCCCGATTCATGGTAGGCCAAATAGCTGAAATCCAGAACATGAGGAGCGCCATCAAGGATCACGACATGGAAAGTTTCAGCCACGACATTTTCCATCGGGTACATCCTGCGTTGCTCAAATGGCGGAAGCAATATGGTATGTTCTTGTCATCCCTGATGAATCTCAAAGCTTCGTTCCTGATGATCATGGTCCAGGGAAGAGATTTGTGTTCTGGTGGGGAACTGAGCCAAGGATATTGGTCTCGGAGCCTGAGATCGTAAGGGAGGTTTTGTCTAAAAAGTTTTCTCAGTTTGATAAATCGGAGGCCGGGCTGCGGTTGGCGAACTTGTTCCTTGGTGGTGGATTAGTTTCTGTTACTGGAGAGGAGTGGAGTCATCACCGCCGACTCGTAGCACCGGCATTCTTTCATGAACGTATTAAAGTGGGTATTCATACTATTATCTTCTCATGAAATCTGGCTGATAAGTGTTTCTGATTCTCCTGTAAACAGCAAATGACCAGTACAATCGCAGGGTGCGCATCTCGCATGCTTGATCAATGTGAAGCTACGATGCAGCAGAATCCCGAGATTGAAATCTCTGGAGAGGTGCGTAAGCTCACAGGAGACGTTATCTCCCATACAGCATTTGGAACTAGCTATCTCAAAGGCCAGAGAGTTTTCGAGATCTTGTCCAAGAAAATCCCAGAGCTAGTCCCCAAACTCGTCAGCTTTTCCTGGATTCCAGGCTTCAGGTATGCTGGATCATCTACTGAACTGAATCATATTCACTTGCTTACAGGTTTCTCCCACTTCCAATCAACCTCCGACTGTGGAAGCTTCATCAGGAGTTGGATTCTCTGATCACTAGGATCATAGACGAGCGTCGGAACTCAGTGAAGTCAGGGGGGAGCAATACATACGGGAATGACTTACTCGGACTGATGCTAAAGGAGTGTGACAGCAGCAGTAATTTCACAAGCAGGGATCTGATAGAGGAATGCAAGACATTCTACATTGCGGGGCATGAAACCACAGCGACCTTACTAACCTGGACTTTGATGCTACTGGGAGGCTATCCTGAATGGCAAGAACGCGCCCGTGCTGAGGTACACGAAGTATGTGGCAATGAGATTCCTGATGGCGAGAGTGTCAGCAGGCTCAAGCTCGTAAGTCGATCAATATCTCCTAATTCCAAAACTTAACATCTTGATTCTTGAACAGGTGGGAATGATCCTTTACGAAACTCTGCGGCTGTATCCACCAGTAAACGAGATGACCAGGGAGTGTGTGGAGGAGTGTTGGCTGCAAGTTTTACACGTTCCAAAAGGAGTATCTGTGTCGTTTCCAATCGTTGGATTGCATCAGGATAAGGGGCTCTGGGGAGAAGATGCAGGCCAATTCAATCCAGATCGCTTCAAAGATGGGATCTCAAGCGCGTGCAAGCATCCAAATGCTTTCATGCCGTTTTCGTTTGGGCCGCGGGTGTGCGTGGGCCAGTCGTTTGCGATGATCGAAGCCAAAGTCATTCTGGCTATGATACTACAGCGATTCTCGTTCCGGCTTTCACCGAACTACCGCCATAATCCTGCGATGAAGTTTGGCTTGAAGCCTATCCATGGAGTGCCGCTTGTACTCAGTAAAATGTGATGCATGTTCGTGGCATTAGAAGTTTAAAAAGGTTATGTTTGTTGAACTACTCCGAGTTCTTGAACCAAACTGGTTGATAAATCATCTGCTCTTTCATACCTCAGAAACGTTTAGAACCATCGCGATGGAGCCCGAGGTTCCAACAGAGGTTTCTGCATCTTTTTCATCCACCACCGAGTGGACTCGCGGGCTTTTTGAACCATCCAAAGAGAGACGCGGTTTGGTGTCAAGAGGCGAGGCGATCAAGCGCGAGATCAACGCATCTACGTCCTCCTAACTCCTAAATCCGTCTCGAGCAGCGAGAATCTCGTCCAAAACGCCATGCCAGATTGGTAAGTGTAAAAGAAACCGGCAAAGATTTTGTTTAACTTCAATAAAAACAATAACATCAGTGGAGTGAGGTCGTGAGAGGGCTTCCACAGTGGTATTGCTGAAAACGAGATAGAGGGCCACCAGGGAATGCAGGCTCATGGCATCGGCTAGGACATGGTACTTTCTCAGCGAGAAGAAGGATGTCCTCCCTCCGATCCATCACAGCTTCTGGATCCCAATCGAGCTGGTATGGCATTCATATTTCTTCCATTGTTTTTTAGTTCTAGGTTTTCGTCCAGGGAGGAAGGCATTCTATTTCGTGGGGAGATGGAGCTGGATGGGGCGGTGAGGAAAGATTTTTGCACCATTTGCAAGAGTGGTGGCAAAGTAGCTCGAGATGCCCTGGTTTGTTGTGTTAGTGTGCATGAATGTCTTTCGTTTCTCTGACATTATGTATTTATTTTTGTTTCAGGAGGAGCCGCTAAGTAGATTCTCAAATTACTGGTATTGGCTTGGCAAAGGTTATCTTGCTGCAAGAGGGAAGCACTAACAGGAGTTTCATGCACTCTCACGGAGAAGGAAGACGGAGGCAGGCAAGAAGGCAGAAGAAGACCTGATGAAGCATTACCTTGTCAAGTGGAAGTCGAGGTCTTACCTTCATTGCTCTTGGTAAGTCTTTTCTTGCTTATAGATACTAGTCATTCGTACGAAACATCACAGGAACCGCTGAATGAAATGGAGAGAGCTTCAAGGCTGTATCATGGCTTGCGAATGAAGATGAACCAATTCCACAAAACGTGTGAGGCCATGAAACAATGTCCAACTCGAGCGGAAGGAATCACTGTTGATAGGGATGAAAGGTTTGCTTACGATGATTTTTCTTGCATGTTGACACTAAATTATTAGGTGTCAGGAGGAGTATCTTGTCAAGTGGAAGGAGCTTGGGATGTCAAGCATATTCTATATCTCTCCTCCTCCACATTTTTGGTTAAAGTGACTTCTTGGCTTGTATGGAAGTGAAAAGTTGAGGTTTTGGGTGATTTGATGTATGGACTTTGGAGCAAGAATTCTTGCAAAATATAGAGTGGATTGAGCTGATTCTTGTTGCAGAGGAGGTGCCATAATATAATCTATCCACTGAATCCAAAATGGCTAGGTTTGTATAGGGATTTAAGGATTTTGATGTTTGGTTCTTTTGGGTAGTTGATTGATGAGTTTTTATTATGCTTTTCTCATCAGCTCTCCATGTTCATCATCTCAACTAGCTAGACACGATTCAGGCTTAGATTCAGGCTTGGATCAGCCGCCTGATCGTGAGTTGGAGTGTTAGAGGTAGAGATGATGTGGCATGTAGTTATGCCCAGGTGGCAGTAGTTCCATGTATATGTACCATCCATATACAGTTGAATACAGTGAGAGAAAGTTCTTCCTCCTCGTGCACGTCTCTCCGTTGCTAACATGGTATCGGAGCCTTGGGCTCCTTGATCTTGAGAATGGCGCTTGCTGGCCAGGAGGCCAGTGATGAGGAGGAGGATGAGCCTCCCGATTGCAATCCCTCTTGCAATGTTTGGGACGCTTGAGGCGTTGCACCAAGGCACCAGGCTGTGTACAGGTGCTGAGCAACAAGCAGCAGCAAGCAGAGAACAAAGCCAGTGGGAGATTGAGAGATTTCAACAACCCACATCAAGAATTGGGTCAAGATTCAAGAACATTGCATAGCAATTCTTTGCAGGAATTTCCAGCAATTGGGAAGGATGTTTATGGAGATTCAAGTGCCTAGTCGCAAAGAAGTGGGAGCCTGGCAGTTCACGGCCAAGACCACATGCTAGAGGCAAGATTGAGACCGTAGCATGAAGCAAGAATGTGTGCAAGCAAGACCAAGACCAAGAACAAAGTTTTGGGTAGTTGATTGATGAGTTTTTCATATGCTTTTTCTCATCAGCTCTCTATGCTCATCATCTTAGACTTTCTAGGCACGATTCAGTCTTAGATCCAGGCTTGGATCAGTTGCCTTGATCGTGAGTGGGAGCGTTAGAGGTAAGATGATGTGGCAGTAGTTATGCCCACGCGGCAATAGCTTTATGTATATGTACACAATCATATACAGTTCTTCCTCCTCGTGCGCGTCTCTCCACTGCTAACAGTTAGATCTATGTTGGATTTGTAAATGGGGTATATGGGTGGAAGCACCTGGTCTTGAGCTGTCTAGAAAGTGTTTTCTTGATTCATTTGGTGATAAAATGAGTTGCATGCAAGTGATTGTTTAGTCATCAAAATATCTTGAAGTGATTTGAGATTTTTAGTGTTTGGTGCAGTGATTTGAGCTAATGCACAAATTTGATTTCATCATGGCTAAGCTTAATGCATACAAAATGCAATTGTAAGAGTCCATCTATGAGTATCATATTTACATCAAACAATATATTCATAAGTGTGAGAACATGAACATATAGTGCAATGAAGCTCAGGTGGTAAAGGCATATATGAATTGTATGCATATGTTTTGGCTCACAAAGTTTTTGGGAAGTGCTTAAAGAAGCTGGAGACAAAGTTATATAATTCACTCAAGAACACAAGAGGTTGCTTTAAAAAAGAACAGTGGTGTATGAGCAGGACTGTCATACAGTGTATTGGTAGAGATCTACTCCTTCCTCTACTTAGATGCTCTCTGATGGCACTTTCAAGGAAAGTCAATAGCAGATGACCGAGAGGTTGAATCAGATAGAAATAGAGACAACTTCATTGAGGCAACAACAGACTGGCATGGCCAAGGCCAAAGATACTCTGGCCAGGGGCAAGCACCAGTTGATGTTGCTTAGGAGTAGGGCTATAACCAAATTCCACCACTATGAGGTTACTTAGACAATACAAATGTGGGGAAACCATGCTATTGTTTCCACACCTACTCCTTGGCCACAGCAGCAAGTTTTTCAGCACAAGCCATGCACAGTTGGTCCAAAACCAAGTCAGATCAGAAAGGAAAAGCTTCAGCAGATTTAGTGAATCTCGTTCACTTCTCAGGACCACATGACTTCATGGATGATCATATTGGTTTCAACGAGAATGAGGAGTGGATTGTTGGCTCATATCTGTGGATAAGACAGTTCAAGAGTGATAATAATGGTTATCAACTCTTGCAGCAACATAGTTGGAAGGGAGGCATGGGCCTTGGATCTTCTGGATAGGGGTGTTTATATCCGATTGAGCCAGTCACCATAGTGAATAGATAGGGTGTGGGAACAGAGGTCATCTTATGTGTCCTCGACTCATAGGTGCAATATGTTGAAATGTAAACAGAGTCTCCAGACACACCAGATTCCCCCTACAACTTGGAAACATTTGCTATCACCACACAAAGGTAGGAGGCACAATATCCATTGGTGCCACTTTTAGTAGACAATGCTTTGCCTTCATGTCAATCGGTCTCAATAAAGAAGGCTGGTTACTACAAAGTGTAACTCAAGCTCAGCCACTAGTAGTTGTTGAGTTGAAAGCTGAAAAGCTAGTAGTCACCCAAGCTGACAAGTTGATGATGTTTTGCCATCTTTTAGATCTCACTAGGAAGAATTACAACTCCCACTTTCTATATATAAAATTATATATTATCCTCTAAGTTAAAAGGATGTCTGTAACAGCATGCCAAACATAGCTATGTAAACCTAGAAGCTAAATCATTAAACTTCTGAAAATAATATTATTGAGCTCTCCACACTTAGCTATTTAAAAACTGGAGACTTCATAAGAATTTCATTAGAACAATATCAATGGAATAAAGAGTAGAGGGTAAGAGGCCATAGTGGCAAAACCATTACCCATCATTTATCATAATGTGCAATGGCTAAGATATTAACATTAATATTCAATGCTATGCAATCTAAACAAGCTCCTTATTAGGTGCTATGCTTAGCATTCATAGAATTAAAGACAAACCAGTCATAAAAAAGAAATTGCATAAAAACTATAAAAAAAAAAAAGGAAACCATGTTGCTGTTTGGCATAACAAATTCTTCAGTAATATAGTTGCCTTTTATGGTTAATTCTCTTAGATTGCATCATTTTTATTGACTCTTTGCTCTTGAAAAACTTAACATTCCCAATTTTCTCTTCAAAATAAAGCATCCAAACATTCTTAAGCAAGTAATTATCATTAACAAACACAAACTCTAAAGTATAATCATGCCCTTTCCAACATAATCAAAATGAACAATGTATTTTTACCATGATTGTATTTATAATATTGATTGATTGTGAAAATTTAAGATATTTCTTTGAAACATAAAAAGGTTGACTAAGAGTTATATTTTATTTCCTTTTAAAGTGAAATAATACATATATTTGGAAAAAAACAATAAATTAAAAGAAACAACATTTTCTAAACTGTAAGTATTCTATATTATTGACATGATTTTATTCCTCCATTTTCTTATATTTTGTATACTGATATAACCATTTCCAGGTGCATGCTTCAAGTCTCCAACTTTTGCAGAAAAAAGGGGGAGAAAGAGAAGAAAGGAGGAGGATAAACAGATCACACGAGATGAGCTATTGATCACAAGCAGCACGGAGCTCCAGAGCATGCATCAGGAGCACTAGGGAGGAAACCCTAGAAGGAGCGAGAGAAACAAAGAGAGATACCTCACGCATTCGTATCGGGCGCTTGGCCCAGCGCTCGTGAAATTGCCCAAGGAGGAAAATAAAAGTAATAGACGAGACTAAGTAATTCATATTATAAAAAGAAACACAGCGAAGGTGTAAATTTTACGAAATTTGCTAGATCGGAATTTATCTGAAATGACTGCTTTCCCTGTAGTAGATAAATTCAAAATGGCTGTAGATAAAGACTTCTCCTCCACAAATAAAACAGCTCCATTCAAACAAATAGCATTGCATTCTTTACCAACACCTTTAGCCAGATTTTCACCTCCAACATCACCACCTGTTTCTCCTTGCATATACCATAGCTGCATGCTGTTTTTGAATTGAGTGCAGCACAACACACCTGTCCGACCATGGCAGGAAACACATAAACCATGATTCCTGTGTAGCCGCTCATCCCATGGCCAAGTCTGCTTTAATTCAAACCTCAACCCTTCCAAATCCAAAGTGAACAGACCAACATACTCTGGATCATTCAAATTCTTGTAGTGACCACAAAGCAAATACAAAGTAGCGTTGCCCACCATTTCCCCCATATTCTCCAACTGACACCAATCCAATGGTGTGCTAGCAGCCCTCCAGCATCCCAGTCTCGAGTTGTGTATATGAGCTGTTGTAAACATTGTGTAGACACTTCTCACCTTACCTCTGATCTCAACTTTTTTTTCTTCACAAGAACGACTTTTTACAAAGCAGACTGTGTATTCCTTGAAGTCTTGACTGATGCCCATGCAAGAGGATGAAATCAGCCCTTTAGCCCTGAGATCTGGGAACGCTCTAAAGCATCCAGTGACTGGATTGCCTACTAGGACCTGGTTCCCTTTCAAAAAGCAGAGCAATCCACCAGCACTTCCTATAAGAAACCCCCCCCTGTGGGCACACTTCCATCTCTATCCACTTGAAGGCGTTGCTGTTGTTAAATGGGTTGCCCCTGAACATCCTTCCTACTACCCTGATCGGCACTGACGAAAGAAAAAACGAAGAAAAACAACTCTGCATGAGTTTTTTAAACTGGGATGAGAAGGAAAAAAGGGGAAAAAGAGAAGAAAGGAGGGAGGATCCAAGCTCACAAATCAGGAATGCACAAGAGGTAAGAGGAAACAAGATGCATTCTGGACAGGATCAGTGAGAGTGGCATCAACCTTCGGGTTCTACAAAAATTTCCAATACATTTAGAATATGCCTGGATATTATACATTTATATTAATCTTATGTTTATAATTTATAAACCTTTAAAAACACTTCTAGGTATATTCTAGCATATTTTATGATCTAACGGTTAGAATGTACTTAGATTAGGTTATAATGTAAAGAAATGAATATATTTGAAAGTCAAGCCAAGTAGGCCTATTGCCCATAACCTCATAGATTATGTACAAATGCAACAAAAAGATATAATGCTTGATTCTTAGACTTTTATTACACTTACGAGTGCATCGTAGATCTGCTGGCGCAGTCTGGGAGGCTGGAGGAGGCTGAGGAGTTAGTGAGATCCAGGCGCAGATGAAGATCTTTGGCACATGCTAGCTCCAAAACGATTGCGCTAGATTCATGAGAGCTGTTGAGTTTGCCCTTGATGGCAGGAAATCTGGTCTCTATATCCTGCTTGCCAACATTTGTTCTAGCGTAATTTTCAGTAATAAGTGATTTATCCACGTATTCCATGCCCAGCATATGCTGCGCAGTTAGTAAACACTTGTTATAACTTTTTTAAAATGAAAACTAAATTAAATAATATTAAAATAAAAAATATTGAATTCCACTTTGATTGAGGAAATAACTATAAGGGTGTGCTTCCTCAAAGGAAATTATCAAATTCGTTAGAAGGAATTATCAAGATCCAGGTGACACAGCAGCTAATCTCCACTAGTCAACACTTTGCACATAACATGTGTCACAGCACCTTCTTTTATTGGCTCCATGCAATTGACCACCTCCCATTGGCTAAGAGCAAACATTATTATTATTATTCATCCATCCATTTGAGCACGTGATTCCTGGGAACAGTGTCGTGTTGATCGATGCGCGAACGCCACCGGGTCCATTGCTCAGAACGCCATTCTTGAACACATCTCGCAGCACGAAATTGCCAAGAGCTCCCGTCCCCTCGAAATCTCGTAGCGGGTCGGGGTCGGCAGCGCTCACAAACACATTCGCGGGGGCAGCGCCCAGGATCATTACCACCAGCACCAACTTCTTGGACTCCATCGCTCGAGATCTAGCGAAAAGAAGATTATCTCGTCTCCTTGTTCTTCAGAAACTTCGATTCAGAAAGAGAACGAGAGGGGGCGAATGATGATAAATCTGCGAAGAGTGTTAATTTGTTTCGTAAGGAAAAGATTTAGAAACGTAACCAGATTGGCAATTGAGACTACGCGTGTTTTGGAGAGTTTTTAATCTCTGACTTTGAGACTTATATAAACCCCAGGTAAAACTATGACCAGGTCTCACTCACGTTCCAAATCGTAGATTTTACGAATGGATACATACTCACAAGTTCTTACAAGCCAATCCTTTGATTGTTTTAGATGGAAACTTCCACAATAAAAAACATGACGTAGAGTCTTTGGTACATACAAGGAGACACACTTGTGAGATACGGGAAATATTTTCTCCTCTTTTTTGTTCGCTCGATGTGCTGTCTGTCATAATCTATAACTAGTGGAAGAATTATCGCAAAAGCAAAACAGAGAAGAAGATAGCTACGCAAGAATCAGGCTGAACTCTCTCCATCGAATCCGTACGTGTCCTCCACGCAAACCTGGAGAGAAACTTTAGCTCAAAGTTTTGTTACCTTTTCCCCAGGATACACCGTCTTGGATGACGCACTTCTCTTGAGTTCCAGAACAATCATATATTTCTCACGACAGGCTTCTAGGGAGGAGACGTTACTGTTTAAATCAGTGAAAATTAGTAGACCATAGATCAATCTCAGCTTAGCATCCCCAGCTTCTCCAGCGATGCGTCTTTCTTGGAAAATCCAATGACACATCACCCGGAGAAACTCCACAACGTCGGACTTTGGAGAGCGGATCCGCCACACCCAAACAATCCGGCCATGATTCTTTAAGTGGCCTTCCCTTCCGAATATTCTTGTAACGAGTTTTGCAATGGTTTTAACTCGTACCAGCGAATTGCTTGGAGATTTGTGCTGCCGGGTGGATAGAGGAGCTTGATCAGGTCACGCAACAGAATGGTTTCTATCGAGAAAATCCAGAAGCAGCTTTCGACTTGGTACTCTGAAAGTCGATACAAGCATTCTCTGTTTCCTTTACTTTCTTTAAATCCAGGTGATCACTTTGCAAAGTGTGTCGAGTTCGTGCATCGTTTAGCTTAGTTGGAGGGAATCGATTCCATTTTCTACTCCCAGCTAGTTTTGACAATTGGAAACGAGCGAGAAACTGTTGCATAGGGTTCACAGGAAAAGGATCTCCGTGCAGTCTCCGTGAAGCTTTTGCTCTAAAGTGGAAGCAACTCAGGTAATATAAAGTATTGTTGGTGCTGATTGTGGGTCACCATCACCACCATTAATGATGCGAGGAATGGCGGACCATGGGGGAGTGATGTAGGTTTAGTCCCATGCTCCTCAGTCGGACACACATGATTGTGACAGTGAAAAAGTGGTTCATTTATACGCTTCTTACATGGAATTCTTTTTCTTCTTTTTGCCTTTGTACAATTACAGATTGCAAGCTGGCCTAAAATCTTCACTAATGATTTCGTGTATCTAATCTCGAAATATAACATGGTGTCAAAGTTGGTGTAACCAACAAGGTTGATACCCATTCAGACTATTACATGGTGGAGGCGTTCATCAAGGGAAAATCTATGGTTGGGAAATTTTTAATGCGAATGGAAGTCAGAGTGCAAAGAATGCCAATAGCAAGAGCTAAAGCCTCGTATAGAATGGATGAAGAACAGCCATGGCTCAGATACTATTCACGCTTGTAGTACTTCCCCAAGACTGGGCCCAAGAACACATGACGTGAGCAAGGTCCCCAATTTGAAGATCACCTGAATACTTTTTCTTTTCGTCTCTAGAGAAGTACTACAAGCGTGATTAGTATCTGAGACATGGCTGTCAGCACGTTGTAAAATTGTCACATTGTTGTGTACAATTGGATGCTATACAATTGTTGGTGAGGCTTGTTTTAGATCTTAAGGCCCAACTAAGAATCCAAGTACAAACTTTGTTTTCATAACAAATTTGATTCTCAAATCTCAAGATTATGTTTGACTTAATCAGATTGTATCAGAGTAAATTTAAATTCAAAAGTCGACAAAAAAGTCATCAAAACTTTTGAAACTTTATTCCTTGGAGGAAGGCCAAAGCTTTGGGTAATTTGGTCAGCAAATATGAAGGTGTACTTCAAGGCTAGCCTATATGCATTTCCATTAATCATGGTCGTCATTGCATTTGCTGCCAAAAAGTGTGGGAGTAGTTACCATTATTACGCTTTAGCTGTCTCTTTAATAGTTAAATATATTAAACAGTATTAGAGTATTTTTACAAAAAATCATCACTATAATTTATTGAAGTCACTGTTACATATAATATCATAGCTGCTTGTGAAGAATCAAATGGATTTGCAACTGCTTGCTTAAAGGAATTGAGATTCAGAATAACATCTTAATCTCTTATAATTCAACACATGGTCATGCACCACCAAACATAATCCTAACAATGGTCATGATAATTATTGTATGGCGGGCAATCAAGGCATCCTAGTGAATACTCATAAGCAAGTGCTTAATTGTTAATGACAATATGCCGTGATCACTTAACTCTTTTTAATAAGTATCACATCATATAATGAAGCTAAAAATAGGAAGCCTTGCCACATCAAAGAGCTTCACTATAATACTATGTAAATTCATATGGGTTAATTTTATAACTTACTACTGCTAAAGTATAGGCACCACAACTGGAGTCGGTCACATTTTTCTTTGGCATTTATCCTCTCGAATATTCTTGTGAAGCGGCAATGTAGGGTTTTGTGGCCGGGAGCCATGGCGGAGCCGCATTCTTCTTGGGAATTTCTGAAGCTCTTGCCGGAAAGGTATGCGCATTTTGTTTCCAATCCTCGATTCAGTGGGTTGATTAGTCTGAAACGGGACGTAGGATTTGTGATTGCCAGCCCGCCACTGCTGCTGGATTCCGACGAGGTTTGCTTTCTAGTGCTTTTAAAGAAATGGTACTGATTATTCGAGCTCGCAGATCTGAGGCGCCGCGCTCCTCCACCAATTCCCGAGCTGATCAATTGGAGCGCGCGCCTCGCGGATCCGAATTTGGTGGAGGAAACATGGCGTTCGCAGTGAGGCAGCAAAAATGTAAGTCTTGCGAGAAGACAGTGTATCTGGTAGATCAGCTAAGCGCCGATGGGGTGCTCTATCACAAGGCGTGCTTTCGATGCCAGGATTGCAAGGGAACGCTCAAAGTAATGTTTTTGGCCATCGTTTTCCCATTTCTTCTTTCTTAACAAACATTCCTTGTGAATTTTTTTTTTCCTTTTCAGCTTAGCAACTATGCATCGTTGGACTTGTATTGCAAGCCACATTTGGAGGAGCTCTTC